CTGGATTCTGGTTTATAACATAATATATCAATATATATATATTTAATATTATGTATCAAACGTGTAAGTCTAATTTTTCTCGTCTTCATCAATATTGGTTTTTTTTGTCAAAGTTGATAATTTTTCTAAATTACTTGATAAATTCTAATCCAATTAATACTAGTGTAGCTACATAAGTCATAACGCCCAATCTATAAATAAAAAAATTTTGTACAGGTATGGTTTCTGAAATGAGTTTTTCAAAATACTTCATACCTAATGTTATACTATAAGTATGTGCTACACTGCTACCGTAGTGAGCCGTAGGTGTACGTAAATGTAATGTAATACGAGTACCTACTGGACACTGGTAATACAATAATACCTATTATAATCTGCGTTATTATTACTCTCTTTCTCACTTTAACTGTTACAATAATGTGCACTTGTATCTAAAAACTAACGTTATATTTTTTAACTCAATAATAATTATTCATTCCAACCTTAATTTTAGGTTTCTAAACATACGAGTTTAGAACACTGTATTATGTTGTATCAGTCCATCCGTCCGTCTGACTAGAACATAGACGATTATAGTTCATTAAGATGGTCGAATGGTCGATATCAAGATAGGATATTTCAGAATTTAATAAATAATTTTAATAACGGTTCTATTAGAAGTAAATTCATACCAGCCAGCATTAAAAATATATATTATACGTCAAAATATAAGTTTTTATTATATAGATTCATACTGGTCAATATTAAGAGCGTGTAATTAATGTGTTAAATTTGAATTCAATTGCATTCGAAAAACGATTCTGATTTAAAAACTTTAAAAAAAATATCTCATTGAAAGCATAACTTCATAGTAAATAATTTTTTTCTATAAAAGCAGAAACAACTGCCAGGAAATAATCTATTAAAATGTCTAATGTAGGGTATGAAAATAACAACGTTTATGAATTTCTAACTGAAAAACAATTTTCAAAATGTATACATTTTCAAAAAATAGCTTAAAAATATTGAAAACAATTTGAATATTTTACAATGTATGGAAATCGCTAGTTTAAATATTTAGTAAAAATGTTAAGAGACTATAGTTCTTCTTTTTTTAGATTACAACAAAATATCAAAAATCGATAAGATAAATAAATATCGTAAAATTTATAAATTCAAACGCACATAAAAAATTAATGTTCCTTTTTGGTAAACGGTGTATCTTTTGTTTAATGTAGAAAAACTAGCATGGAATTTTTTATTAGCATTTTTAATGTTGGGTGTAAAAAGAAAACATTTAAACATTAATATAACTAAAAATTTGATGAATTTTTTCAAAATTTGAACTTAAAATGCATATAAAACTAATCATGCATATGGATCTTAAATATTTTTAAGATTCCGTTAACGAAATTTATGAGAAACTTTGTGCTACCCTTACTGGAAATGTATGGTGACTTGATGAAAGACAAGAAAAAAAACAAACACATCACTGCAAGATTCTCGAAATTTATCGTAGGATCTGTTATCATAGTAATAATAATAATTATAATAAATTATTATCTTTTTTTATTTATAATTACGTTTTAAATTGTTGATTATTAAAATATTTTAATTATAATAATTATTAATTTAATTTACTGTGGTAATGTAAATTGTTTTGATACATAATATTTATAGTTTACTTAACTAAACATATTTTACGTATGTTATTTTATTTTTCTATACAGTTAGATTGGTACCTAAACTTCTACATAATATTACATTTTCAAAATATTTAAATTCATTGTATGCTATTTTATTATCAGTTCCTATAGAACAGTGTGAACATGTTCGTTGTTCATACCGTTCTACGATAATTTGATATTAACTGAAAGAAGATAACAATAATATATGATACTATAAAATATAAATATTTTAATATGATTATACCCAAGGTTGGGCAAGTTAACAATTTTTTTTAGCTCGTTGAGTTAAAAATGAGTTACTTTTTTATTCATATAAAAATTTTTTAAGCTAATAAGTAACTTGGTAACTTTATAGAGGTTTCACAGTTAGGTACTTATTAATATACTTTAATCGATGACTAAATGCAACAAAATAGTTATCATTTTTTATTTTTTTTTAAACATGCTAAAAAAAGCAAAAAAAATACACTTTCAAACTTCATATTTGATCGCGTTGTAACATGACGTACACTTCTATAGCTCTCTGCTAGATTGTATGTCAAATCATTAAAAATAGTTAATACTATAACTTATAAGTTCCGAGCAGGGCCGTATTTAGGGGGGGTGCAATTGCACCGGACGGCCAAATATTGATCTCTTTGGGGGACGGCCGGGCACCGCTGTAACTCGGTGCAGTATTGTATCAATAAATATTTTTTTGCGAAAGAATCTATAGACCCTTGTGAACTTAGCAGTGCAACTATAACGGATAAGTGCTAGCATAGAATATAATTTATATTATTTTAACATAACCAAGGTTGTAAATAGACAACCATGACTTAACCATAATGAATTATAACTAAAAATGTGTTAAGAAAAATAAAAAAGCGGATCTATATTTTGGTGGGGGGGGGGGATTATGATTGACCCAGGGCGCAAAAATTGTAAATACGGCGCTGGTCCCGAGCCCTACTTATAGCAAATGCAATGTTTTTCGCAAAAATTAATTCACCCTACCGTATTACTAATGGTAAATATATTACTATAATATCAATACGATAAGACTGTGTACTTATAGGTACTTAGTAATATAGGCTGACAAACCGTTTTCTCTCAGAACGGCTTTTCACATGCAATTATTTATCATTGAATTCAAATTTAACTCACGCAGTACACTAGCTGACTAGCTTACACATAGACGAGATCCACTCGACAACCATAGGTACCGCGCAGTTGAGTGGTTACCTATTTACCAACTGTTTTTGTTAACAACAAGATCTGACAAATGAAATAACTTTAATTAGTTGATTGTTCTTATCAATACTTTTTTTTAAGTATTATTTACAGATGCTCACGCCACGCGTATAGTACCTATATTATATTTTTTATTTTTAAATCCCGAAAATAAAAAAAATTAATTCTGATGTGAATTTATTCGAAAAATTCAAAATGGCCAAATTGTGTATGTGACTTATAAAAAAATGTTGAGTGTACAAATATTTACTTAAGGAATGTGGTTTATTTTCTAAAATTGTTTGAAACATTTTTTTTTTTTTGTCACAATCAAACGTTTTCTAAAAACCAGACTTAAAAATTGGCTATTTTGTCATTTTCAAAAAATATTTAAATCAGATTTTATTTTTAGTGTTAAAAAAATAAAAATAAATAACGTGATATTATTATACGTACATTACACGAGTCAGTAAATCAGATAGAAATTTTCAAATGTTGACCAGAACAAAAGTTGTTTCATTTGTCAGGTCTTTCTGCACACGCCTTGCAATATATTAATGTAGAGGATGTACCTTGTACGAGTTTAATGTAACTAGAGAATAAAAACATACCTCGAATCGACTGTAATCCTAAACGAATTCAGTGATCTGCTTATAATACATTTATAAAGATAATTATCTAATAAGATTATCGATAATGATATCTTATAATCATTTGCGTCTAAATATAGATAGGTGATTACAGTTGCATAAAATATAAATGGCTACATTCTAGTTAAGTCCCAAAGATAACTACGAAAAAAGTCTTAAATCGAATTATTGTGCGAGTTTTTTTTTTTGCTTCATACCCTGCGGAGGGTATAATACACCTATTAATATTATTATTGTTCCCGTACATTAATAACGACAGCAAGCAGTCATAATATATATAGGCTTATAGCATTACATCACATTTATTTTAATTTGTTCAAGATAATTGTCTTGACTGTTTAATAATGACAGACGACAGTACAATGTAGATACCAGAAATCAGATTACCAAATAAACACCTTAGTCATAGCTTTTCTACTGCTGAGAACGTTTCACCGCTGAGTCGGATTTCTTTTTTAAGGATTCATACAAATTATATTATAAAAAGAACCATTCATTTTTAATGCCTTGAAACAGTCGAAAGAAAGCCGAATTGCCAAACTTGAATTTACAAAAAAATAATATCATACTAGTTTTTACCGGTGTCATAATATTAATTGAATAAAATAAGTACCTACTCACGAAAATCGTTTTAAACATAGCCAAAATAACATTTTAACATAACGAAAAAGTCACATAAGTTTTTATCATTTCAACCAAAATATTAATTTTAAAAAATAAAACATAATAATTATGTTTAACCTACTGCAGTATCGATGCTACAGACAGTCTTAAAGTCTGTACTAGAATGGGAAGAAAAATTAAGTTTAGAGTGTATAATTTCATATTTAAACAATCTTTGATTAGGTGGTAAAATTAAATACGTTAAAAATCAGTGCTGCAATTCGGAAGACCGAATTCGGATTTATACCGCGGGACGCAACTATAGTTGACACCCATTAAAATCATACTTATTTTATTGTTGACATCTTACTTTTAATAACGAGGGAGGAACGCGCTTTTACACTAGGGTTCATTTTCAACTTTTATTTACAGCTGCAGGATTTCCTATAGTAGGTACCTGTGATTATTAAATCCTAGTTACGAACCCACGGCTTTCGTCTGCACGTCACGGATGCGAGTGATAACCTAATTTTTTTTATTCATAAGTGGGCAGGTGGGTATTTCAAAACAATAATATTTTAGTGACGGAAAATTGTACGGCATTGTACATCGTTCGCGTTTAACTATTGACGGTTTACGCCTACAACTACAACAGTCTATACTCATCACATGCATGCACTTATGGGTCTATGTGCGTCTTATTGTTTGGTGACGTCCTTGACACCCGTGATGCCACCTTTAATACTGGTCGTGACAAAATAATAATCTATCATTCTATCATAATAATAATAATAATAATAATAATAATAATAATAATGTGCACTGCTACTAATTATAAGTTATGATAAATGGTTCATTTCGTCGCGTCGACCATATTTTAATTAGGCGTTGCATTCAATATAATATTAGTCCTCCGCGTGTAACCATGCAGTAGGTGTGTATATATTATACATATATAATATATGTCATATATTATATATGACGCGGCGTTCAAGCGAACAAATGAAATCTGTAAAATGTAAAAATAATAAATACCCTGATTCGATGTGTTGAACAGTCTATATTATGGTCATACATTTAGGTAGGTACCTTCCATAAATCTATATTGTGCAATGTGTTGTTCTAGTTTTATTAGAAGTCACAGCGCTATGAAAGTTAATAAAATTACTTAACTCAGTTTACATAGTTAAGTTATCATTATTTTTTTTTATATCTAGGTTAAAAATTAAATTAACAAAACATTTTGATTCTTGAATACACCAATTGAGTTTAAAATTTAATGTGACTCGTATCATCAACTTAACTTCATGGTATAAATTGTTAAGTTAATTAAACAATTATAAAATTACATAAAATATTAAAATAACTATACATATATATATATGGGTATACTAATAAATATATAATAATATTTATTAATGTATATATTATCACTTAGATAGTAATTTATTAAACCTAACTACCTGAATGTAAGTATGTATTTAAAACCTGTCTAGGTGCTTTGTCTTGGAATCATTTAAGTTTGTATTCAAGTGTAAATATCGATAGCATAGAAGCCGAAATTCGTATGTCACAAACTATCAAATTTACAAGAGAAAAGTCTTAAGTTTTTCAATTATTTTAAACCAAATATAATAGGTGTGTGTTATAGTTTTTTTGTTTTTCAGAGTTATAACTGATTTATTTGTAAAATATTATACTGTAGATTACAAAAGGTTTTTTTTATGAATTTTTTCAACGTAATTATAACGAATATTTTTAATTTAAATACTATGGGTATTATTTACAAGGTTTTATCCGCATATTAAAAATTGTTGATTTGATATAAAAAAACTTGAATCAATTGACTGAATTATTTTTGACAAAAGTAACAATTCCGGACTTTTGTTATATTTGTCAGTTTAATACATTTTAGATCACGATAAAATATTTACTGTATTTTTTATAACTCGTACGTTCAAGACTTGTTAAAGTGTGTCCTAAATAAACCTATTTTGAGCTAAAATAAGTAAATACAATATAAGTAACAAAAAAACCTATTTTAATTAAAATGTTTTGCAGAATGAAAAAGACGGGCCAGATTAACTTAATGGACTACTTATGAAACGATCTTGTAAAAACTGGACTTACAACTTTTGGTATCTCAACCATCGATATGTGATAACTATATAAATACGTAATATTTAACATTTAAAATCTACAAGATAAATAGGTAACTCGAACACTAATATAAAAAATTTTTAAAAAGCTACATACTCTAAGTGTATTATTAATTACTTATAAGCAAATATGTATTTCACATGATAAATTATTGATGTATCTCTTATAGTTTATTAACCATCACTTTACCTATAATATTGATGGTGTGACATATTCAATTTATTCGCGCGAATAATATCTAAAGCAAATGTTGGAGCTTGAAACAAACAGCTATTATGCTAGGTGATTCAAAACAATTATTAGGTAAGTAGGTAGTATACCTCTGCAGTAGCTAGTACACTATGACCGGTCGCAGTAAGTAAACTAATCAATGATTACTTTTTTAATTATAATGCAGCAGAAGTTTAACGAGTGGGCGAAGAAAAAAAATGTAAAAAAGTATAATAATGTGGGTACTAATGGGTACCTTCGAGATACAATAATATGTACATCGAAACAGTCACCAACACATAATATTATTTGATAATCGTATATTAGTAACTATTTATATGACGTGACAAGTGCCTATTGTGAATATAGTTCGTGAATCGTGAGCACGTGGTGTCTGTACACGGAAGTCTAATGTTTCGCAAATATTATAGTAATATAAGTAGTAAGATAAATTTGTTTTTATCGATAGATATAAATACGAAGTTCTTCGTAAACATACCTAACAATTTTATTCTCCTAGGTAATTTTAGTTTTTATATTCTACGAACTTATAATATTATTAACGGTGGTAAACTAAATAATAATAATTCAAAATAAACTTATAAATTGATTTCAAGTTAAAGTAGAGGCAAATGAGTAAAGTTGAAGTTAAATGAAATCAAATAAAAGGTAATTTAAAAAATCGAAATTGGCTCAATTCAGTGGTATATATACACACGAGGGAAGAGTGTCTAACTATATCTCAGTGGCGTAGCCAGGGGAGGCTTAGGGGGCTGCAGCTCCCCCCCCCCCGAACTGTTAATGCAATTTAAAAATTATTTTAATGGTCTATGGCAGCGTTTCTTAAACTTTTTTATCCGTGGAACCCTTTTTTATGTGCACTTTCACCGTGGACCCCTAACTTTTTTTAGCTTTTTTTTATTGAGCTCTTAACAATAAATTATTACAGCTCGACAATTAGAACCACTACATTGTTTCAATACTTTCAATGCGTCATTTTATGTAAGGAATATTTGCAATAAAAGTTATAATTATGTGTCAACATTTAAAATTTTGAATAAAAGCCACAAGTTTCGGGGAACCCTGAAGTGACCTCCGCGGAACCCTGAGGTTCCACGGAACACAGTTTAAGAAACGCTGGTCTATGGAATTCGATCAAAAACTAAACCACCGCTGTGTAAAAAATTTNCCCCCCCCCCCCGAAAAAAATCCTGCCTACGCCACTGCTATATTTTGTAGTTAGTAAATTACTATACATAGTACATACATATAAATTAATTAACACAATTTAATACAATTTAAAAAAATATTTGATTTATACGTAATTTATTAATTCAATATCTCCAATCGAAAATATCTGTGTACGCCATTAGTTTAACTTTTAACTTATAAGTGAAAGATAAGATATTTACGTTACAGATAAGTTAATTTTAAATATTTCCTATATGTGATAACTTATAACTCTACTACAGGTGCAGATTTAGGATTGTTTTAACATACACGATCTTAACTTTTTCTGAGTTATATAGTATGAGTTATGTGTATTTTTTATTTTTGTTGGAATGTAGATGTAGTGGAAATAATACTACGATCTTCTACGGCCTAACTTGTAGTATCTTAGTACTTCAGATACCTTAAGTATTTTGTTTAGCGGGTAAGTGAATCTAGTTGGTAGGTTCTTTTGAGAATTCAAAATTTAAAATGTATATTTGTATTATTTTATATCATTGTATTCAAATTCAACACTTCCGCTACAGTAACACACGAATCCTACAATACAGCATGGTGGTACCTTCTTACTTTTAATGTTATTTATTTTAAGTTTTAAGTTGATATAAATAAGAAAAAAAACAGATTTGTTCTATTGTTGTCTTTCGGGTGGCGAAGTACGAGCAATGAGCATGCAAGTTTTTGCGTTCTTATGTTATTGTGGTGGATGTGTTATGATAAACCGTTGCATACGAAAAACTGAAAGATAGATTTTCAAGCTTTTTATTAAATAAAAAGTTTTTATCGACAATAATTTTGAAACAATTTACAAAATTCGAAAATGTCTAATGGCTATAAAAATCACTCAAAAAGTGTTCAAATATTTAAAAAAATTAACCATGTATGGAAAATGCTGATTTAAAAAATTGGTGAATGTTTCAAATGTCTACGAATATTAGTATTTGAATTACAATTAAATATGAAAATCGATTAATTGGAATTCGTTGATATACTTCAAATTTAAATAAAAATAAAAATTATAGATATTTGATGACAATTTCAAGTTTTTATGGTTATTAGGTTTTGAGTTACACCGACAAAATAATGATTTTTTCCCTTTTTTTTGTTTTTCAATTTTTTTTTTAAAAGTACAAACCAGATTCACTTTTTTATCAAGAAAGATGCTGATGTCAAAAATTGCATCATTTTTATGATGATAAAAGACAAAGAACAATTTGCTATTTTCAGAATAAAAAAAACATTATTGTAGCTGGTACCTATAGGTACTTGTAATTGTAAAGAAATGTCTATAAATTATTTTTTTTTTTTAATGTTTAAATATTGATTAAAAAAAAATATGATATTTAATTTATCATATCTTTTTGTTACACTCTGTATTATAGTTATTATAGATTATATACTATATTGTAATTGTTGTTGACTTATAATATATAATACCAATGTATAGTCACGAATGTATACGTACGCGCGGTGTGAATAGGCGCGTAACTTCGTGGTATAAAATAGTAGTCTAAATATTTGGAAAATTTAATTGTGTAAAGTAAATGATAATTTTAGTGATACTTTAATGGTTTCGAGTTTCTATGATTAACCAAGGGCGTCCGCAGGAATTTGTCAAAGGGAGGTCAAAGTATTTTAATTTTTCAATTTTTGTTTCACTATCTATTTGATGATAAAGAATTGTTTGTGACATATTTTCTTTCGTATAAGTAGTGAATGTAAACATTATTTATGAATTAAAACATGTAGATAAGTAGTTAAAACTTAATCTTACAATCTTACAGCATTCATTTTAAATAATTAAAATTAAATTTTAAATTAAAAAATGCATTTTTTTATAAATAAAATGTCACCATTGATTTGATAGTTTCAGGTTATTTATAAAATCAAATATTTGAAGCTCCTATAAAATAAATATGATAAATGTTAATGCGAAAACAACTAAATTAAAATCATTAAATATAATTATCAATCGCTAGAGAGTATCCAGGTATAATTTTCGAAACAAACTACTAAATTAATCTCCAGTTATAAAGTTAACAACTTATTACAATACTAATATACTATACTTATTAATCGATTAATACTAGTAGGTTACAGTTATTTAATATTAATTATTAATTATTATATCTGTTAACAGCTGTAGCCAGCTCAGAATAATACGATATTGCACAAATTATATTTTGTACAGAAAACTTACAAGAATAAGACGTAAATACCGAGAAAGCTTTTATAAAATATATCCAATTTCAACAAAATTTGAACTTCAAAAGTTTAAAAGCTCGTAGAAACTGTCTACAATATTTTTTAATCGTCTTAAAAACAGCTTATTTCCACTGCCCGTCGGGACAAGGTTAACAATTATAAGCAAAAGTAAGTTGTATAATTTAATTATTATCGTAGGTAGGTAGTAGGTACCTACCTACCTACCTACCTAAAATTATTACACACATCACGTACAACACTTATTCTACTTGTCATGTACTATTGCAATATTATTGTAGGAAGTAGCTTTGATTACAGTACCTAAATAGATTTTGTAAAATAATAAACTAATTATTATAGCATGGATTTGTATGTAAATATTAAACGCATAATTGTATTGAACGCAAATTTCCCAATTCTGATTATAAAAACGAACACGCTTGATAACATCCTAAAGAAAATATAACGAACCTACCTATTCAAAATTCATTATTAGTTACTATACCTCGCATTACTAAACACCGGATTAGATTGCATTAAAAACACACAAACATTGCATAATAAAAACTACATAATTGCATCAACAAATAAGAGATAATTTCAAAATAAATTGAATTATAAAAATGCAAAAGTTGTCCAAAAAAAGTTTAATTTTTCTATTTAGCTGGTAATAATAAAATAAAATCAACAAACATTTTTTTTTTGTATTTGAGTTGATAATATATAAACCGTCAAACTGATAAGTATTGGTAGGTACATTTCCAATTTATGTTATTTTTAAATGTATATTTTGTTACTTTAAAGTTTAAATATATTTGTAAAAATAAAAACTACGTTACACGCTAGTTAATGGTGGATGAATTTTAAACAATATTCAAGAAGAAATGTGAGACAGTATACAGGGCCGTATAAAGGGGGGGGGTATGGGGACATTTGCCCCGGATGGTTAAATATTGATCTATTTATGGGGGTGGCCGAACACCGCTCTAGCCCGGTGTAATATTGTATCAATAGTTATATTTTTTTTTGGAAAGAATTTATATTGTGTTACGGTCATAATTTGTCTATCAGCGATAACTGATAAGTGATAGTGCATAGAATATATCAATATTATTTTAACATAACCACTGTTGTAGATAGCCAACTATGATATAAGGATAAAGAACTATAACTAAAAATGTGTTAAGAAAAATCAAAAAAGTAGATAAATTTTTTTGGTGAGGGGGGGGGCAAAAATATGGTTGACCCGGGCTCAAATTGTAAATACAGCTTTTACAGTAATAATTTTAAATTACATAGGAGACAATTATTATATTCCATGAACGATTTACGATAAATATAATAAATATCATGTATCTAAGGATCAAAAAAAAAATCCTAACTTAAACCCAGTTTTCTAGAAAATCGTGAAAAGTTTGTTACATTTAAAATTTTCAAACAGAATTGTATTTTTTGTTAAAAGAACTTTGGCTTTTCAGAAAAATAGGGAAAAATTCTAGCTTGGGTATTTTTAACGGAAAAGTGAAAAATATGTAGTATCAGAATGCAACTTTTGACTTTTGTTTTAAAGCCAAAGCAATTTAAAGTTAATCCATTATTCGTGTTGATCAAAATTGATTCTTAAGAAAAAAAAAAAACTGTTATAATTTACTGTTCTTTTATATTTTTTTAAACTGTGATATTTTTATACTAAGATAATTAAGCGTACCTGCTTAAATGAACATTTTTAATCTACCAAAGTGTTTTTTTTTTTTTTGGAAATGTAGTATTTTAATATTCTAAAATATTATTCAATATTTTTCGGTGCACTTTCTATGGTATTTTCAAAATTCCCCCAAATTATCTGGAGCTGGACATTTGCCATTTTAATTTTTGATCCATATAAATAAAAACTAATTTATGGAATCATAATACAATTATTGTTATCTTGATAATATCTTTATTTTACGATAACCATTATTGCGCACTATAATTATCTCCTCGTATATTGAACCATTACGTTAGTATAATAAAAGCGTTTTTATGTTATAAAATTGAGTAATAAAAATATCTTGTTCATTTAAACACGCCCTACAACACACACAATAGCAAACATTGAATAAAATAGACAGAATAATACATAATATAAGTAGTACCTTTCTAACTTATCTTGTCTGCAAAAAAGTGGTAGTAGGTCTATCGCTAAAATGTAATCTTAATAATCATTACAAGATGTTGCATATTTTTTAAAAATATTTTACCAATAAGTAACCCTGCTAAATATATTTCATATTTTCATAATTACTTATTCTCAAACATATTGACAGTAATAAAAATTCTGTGAGAAATATGAATTCAATCCGTCGTAAA